ATACATGTAATGACAGCTGTAGCAGGTTGATGCTTAATGATACCGGCTTAGTTAATATCGTGTTGTATCATGTCTCTGACGTCATAATGACGTCAGCTCGCTGCTTACTACACATGTACGCGGGCAAGCAAAAACGCTCTGGACAGTTCACATGTACCGTTATATGGAGAAATTAGCATGTACACAGGTGGCACATAGTGTTAGCACATCAAAATAAAGTTGAAAACGAAAAATCGATGAAATTTCATGCACAACGTGGAGAGTATCCTTAACTCGGCAAGTGACATACAGTCATTTCTCGCCTCATGCTTCGCTTCTACGCTTTAGGCAACACCAGGTGCCAGACGAGTGGTTCGTGGAGGCCATGGAAATGATCGAGCATGACGCCGCTGTTCAAAGGACTCTTCACATTCTGCGATCTATGTTCGAATTCTGCCCTCTCATGCTATCATTTATAAAACATTGATCACAGAAACTTGTAGCCATGTGCACCAAGTTTCATAAATTGTTTTTAAATAGTTATTGAAAAGCCATTACATTTGTTGAACCATTCGCACTATCAACTGTCGAACACGATGTCGGTCCTTTTCAACAGAGTGTCCAGTCTTTCTGCTCCAATTCTGTAACACTGCAACGACCTTGACGGCCTTCGTCCACGATGAAAAACGTTCTAATCGTTCAAGAATCGAAGTAGTCTCTAAGGACGTGGCGGTGTGTACGTGTTTTGTCTTTATTTCTAGTCATCAACTGGTAAATCTGGTGTTGCTGCTATTTCCCAGTAAGAAGGCTGTCAGTGAAGCCAGTTGGATTGACATGATCTGCCCAGCTTGCAATCCTCTAGAGGCATGATTCGCTGGATTTTTCTCGGAGTGTCCACGTAACGCCACTGTTCTGGTTTCGACGATTCCTCGTATCCTCTGATCACGATTGACACAAAAATGTGTAGAGCATTGCTTTGTATAATATAGATCTTTGCATCGCTGTTGACGTACCCTAAGACCAGCATTTGAGTCTGTCCAAAAGTATTATGTGGGCTGTTGGTATTCCAGCTCAGCGGTCAGTATGTTACTGATTTTGAGGAGACCACCGCTGCCCTGCAGTTCTATGTCTGGGTATAGTGACGACTCTCAAAGGTGTCACTCGTGCTTTTCCCATTACAAGGGAACAGTGTACTTGGTCTCTTCATTCACAAGTCGGGACGTATGAACATTGTCCATAGCCCTGTCTGGCTGGTGTCGGGAGAAATGGTGCAGATCAATCTGCTTTGGGGTATCAAATCCTTGTGTTTAAAACATCTAGGAATTTTGATTTGCTGGCAATTCAGGGAGATCTTGTCTCCAACCGTTTTCATTTGGACGTAGTTCATCGGACATAGGTTCATCCAATCTGCTTTTCTCGACACATATGTTGTAGGATCTGCTTGCCTTGTAGAATGAAAGGTGCAATAAATCCGGCAGTGGGTCGTACACTAAAGACAGCAGTTGAGAGAATTCCTTTCGCGAGTCAACGTTGATTCCTCATGTAAGCCTGAACTGGAACTGGTCAGACTCGATGGCATCATTGGATGCCAGTGCCCTCTCTATTGGTAGCTTTTGAAGTCAAGATCCAGGTCTCTGATCTCCGCAGCCGCCTGCGGAACTTGGTATCGAATCCATGACCTCACGACTGTTTGAGGCCAAACTTGTGTAGACGTAAATGGGCCTTTGCACACATTTCACGTGCATCTTGTACCAGCTTGATGGCATTGCCAGGCGTGTCAATGCTGGTCAATCCATCATCGACATAGA